AGAGAGACTCTTAACCTTTGTTGGGTGAAGGCTATATGTAATTATATGAGGATTAAGGATCTAATCCCTTATTAAAGACAATTGACAAATACTTTTTACCATATATAAAATGATGAGACATTATTACTAAACTGGAGTATTATTATTCTAAATTAAATATTTATATTTACACACTTGGAAAAAAGAGAGACTCTTAACCATTGTTGGGTGAAGGTTATATGAAATTATATAGGGATTACGGATCTAACCCCTAATAAAAAGGTGAGATATAAATACTAAACTGAAGTATTATTATTCTATATCCATTTTTATAATCCGCGATTATTAGTATAATATATATGATATAATTTGTATCATATCTTTTATTGATATACTGAAGTATTATTATTCTAAAACCACAATTATATGTATAATATATATGATATAATTTGTATCATGTATTGTTTACCAAAAATACAATAATAATCAACATCTAAGAATTTTTACACTATTAGATATTTCTTGCATACTAAATGATTTTTTTTAAAGCTCAGAAATTTTTTGGAAAATTTTTTATTAATATCTGTGTCCTGCCAATTTATATAAAAGAAGTTTTAATTGATCTAATATTAATTATGCAAACTATCAAATTATTATAGTATATTAATGGTATATTAGGTATGCCTTCTAACACGAAGAAGTATACCATATATATTAGAAGTATTTTAAATCAATATATTGTAATAAAAGAAAAGGATTAAGCAACATTCGTCTATCCGTCTGCGTATTCATCTGTATAGTCGTAAGGTATTAGATTTTTTGGACGATGGTTTTTCCTTTAAAATGTGTTTTATCGTCGTTATACGGTAGAAATATGTTATAACGATAATCAAATATGGTTTGGCATATAATTTATTTATTTGTATTATTACTTATAACCACTATCGACTATAACAACTCGATTAAGTTTGTCATTCAAAATCGTTATAATAGGTTTCGCCTGTATATCAAAATACGAGAACAGGGAAGGCCCATGATATAAAGGACTCTCCTAAATATGATATATCAATAGCGAAGGTAGGACCGTTTGGTATTTAAAATGATTTAATATGATAATGAGCTTTCAAATATGTTAGATTTACGGCGAAGGCAGATATTTTATATATGAATATAAAACAATAGAAAAATTTTCTATGCAAAAATGTAATAGACTATTAACAAAGGTAAGGACATGTGTCGTTTCATATGTGCTTATAAGATAAGGCTCATGTGATAGACGAAGTCAGATATTTTTAGCGTTTCCTTGAGAAAATAACTCCTTAATATAGTGATAGACTATTGGCGAAGGTAAGAGCATGTGATGTTTGAAATGAACACATAAAATTGGATAAGGAATACTCCTAAATATGATAGACGAAGTCAGATACTTTTAAAGTATCCATGAGGAAATTAATTCGCAATATTTTGATAGACTGTTGGCGAATATAATCGACTAATGATAAAAGCAAAGTCATTTCAATTGTAGCAAAAATAGATGTATTATAATGTGAATTACTTTTTGTAGAGCAACCCTGCTTCCTAGGAGCAAGCCTGTCTATTTAAATACGGGAAAATAAAGAAGCTTATTTTCGATTTTTTCAGACATTAAGTTGCAAGTTGAGAATTGAGAGAAATATATACTTCACTAACTCTAAGAAAAACTTCATTTATCATATATAAATTTTTTAATTAAAATTTTTCACATTTTTAACGATAAGCTCTAAATAGTTAGTAATAAAAAAAATTACTCATCTGTTGCAAATTTAAATTTTATCCCGAAAAATAGCTTTGTTAACCGATAAGAAAAATTGTTGTAAAAAATTTAAACTGAAATGAAATCATAATTTAAAAAATGTGAAATAGCGAAACAAATCCGTAATATATATAAATAATGATAAATTAAAAAAAATTAGTTTTTAAGTGTTGTATTTTTTTTCTTAAAATATATATATTTTTTTAAATAATATCGAATATCGAACACGTTTTTCAACTTATTATTTTGTAAACAAAACTTCACTTAAGAAAATTAAAATTATGCAAGTTTTTTTATTTGCTCACTCATTTGTGAAGGTTCTTAATTTATATTTACAAATAATAAAAACAACAAAAAATAAATAAAATTAAGTGAAAAAAAATATAAGTTAAATTATCGAAAATGTTGGTAAGAAATAAACACGTAATATTTCGACACGCGATAATAAAATCTTCAACAAGTACGCAGACGTTGAGAGCTGCACATTCACAATCACATCCACATCCACTTCATCCACTTAGGTTCATCGGGAATTTGTTAGAATACCTCAACGCCAAGTAGTTATAATGCAACGGACAGTAGATGAATTAATTAGTAATTAAGATAAGTAATTAATGTTTGGTTTTTTATTTTACTAATTAATGTAGAAAAGAATATAATTCGAAAATGTATTAAAGTATCTATGTTTCCGGATTAGATATATCCATTGCACACTGGGCTGTATTGCGAAACTCAGTGGAAAAAAATCATGCTGCCATATTAGCGATTGCAGTATCTCTTGACAAAGATAACATATAAAAAATGTTAAGAAATGCATATTTTGATCATATTCGATCTTTCAAGCTATAAACTAATATAGCTATAGCTATAAACCAATAATGCATTTAGATCAAAAAACAAAAAGCGAGCATATTTTTAGTGTTCTAGTGACCTTCAAAGGTGTGACACGTGAGTAATTGTGTGTTAAAAAAATAATTTGTTTATGGATGATAGTTCCATTTGTAAGTACTGTAAAATTTTAGATTCAACTATTTAAATCATATTCATTAATTAATAGAATTCTAAATTAATTTAAGAATAATAATGCAAGAGTTTGATTTTATGGGAGTTTGAAAACAACAAACACGAGTACAACAGCAATAACTTTAGGAGGTTGAACATTAACTCATATATGGTAGTATGAAGTGGTTTAAGTTAGAATATTTGTAGATAATATAAAATAATATTTCAATAAACACAGATAAACAGATTTTTGAAATCTCATATACTGAGATTTCAAGAATCTGTACTGTCCACCTTCGACTTCCCCTGCTGACAGTCGCGCAGAGTTGTAGGTAATTGAATCTAGAACTGTCAAATTCAGGATTCTATGACATGTAACACCTCAGTTATAAACATTAAACATTACAAGAACACTGAACATAAAGATATCGAAAGGAGCTATATAAATAAATAAAATATAAATAAACTAATACATATGATAGCTAGAAGATATTATAAAATGGACATAAA